CTCTCTCTCTCTCTCTCCCTGTCTCTACTCTCTCTCTCTTGTTTTTTTGAGACAGGGTCTCTCCATGTAGCCTTGGCTGTCCTGGAACTCACTCTGTAGACCAGGCTGGCCTCAAACTCAGAAATCCACCTGCCTCTGCCTCCCAAGTGCTGGGATTAAAGGTGTATGCCACCACTGCCCGGGTCTGCCTATTTCTCTTACCCAACACCCATCCAGTTTTTCCTTCAGAATCCCAAACTCTCACCCACAGTCCTATCCTGAGGGCTCTTCCCTTTGCCACTTAGCAGCTCCCTCCTGACAACAGTTCTTACTTCTTCTCTGTGGTCAGGTTGCAGGCAGAGGAAAACAATCTGTCAGATGTGGACTGAAATAAGTACTCTTTCCCTCAGCTCCTCCCATCTGGCATCCTGAAAGGGGGTTTTGGGTACTCCCACTAGGCCAGCATGTTTATTGTCTAACAGTTAATCAGATTTGTATAGCAGTGAGGAAGGGAGGACCTGGCAGTTGGGGAGGGACTTTGATGCTGGAGGATTTTGAGGAAGGAAAGGTGGGCGGAAGGGTGGGGCCACAGTTGGCTTGTGCTTCACCTTCAGAAAGCAAGGGAAGGTGGCAACTTGTACAGCCGTTTCCTGGTTTTTCTTTTGTCTTGTTTCATGCGGTTTCTTTTTTTTTTTTTTTTTTTTGTTCTTTTGAGACAGAGTTTTTCTGTGTAGCTTTGTCTGTCCTGGGACTTGCTCAGTAGACCAGGTTGGCTCAAATACATAACTATCACAGGGGTGTTCAGCAGCTGCTGCTGCTTCTGCCACCACCACCTGGATCTTCCCTGATTCTAAGTAGAGAGTATGGGCTGCAGTGGCTCAGAGCCCACTGCCCTCCTTCCTATAAGCCAGCAAACAACTGATAAAATACCTGCAGAGTGGCTCTGGTGAGCAAGCCCTCAACATAGTCTTGTATCAACAAAGTGAGAGTCTTGAGCCAAGAACTAAGTGACAACTGGAATGCAAGTTACTAAGCAGTGTCTGATGTGTTTGGGTGATATATGGGGCTTCGGGTGTTGTGAGCATTCAGCAGCTAGAGCCAGGGATGCTTTTCATAGCACAAGGCAGTTGTAAGTAGAGGATGAATGAGCCCAGTATCCCCACAGCCCAGAAGCCTCCATGAAGAAGCCACACGCTCATTCTCCCTGCTCCACTTTGTATGTTGCCTGTCCCTACACCTATGAAGTCCAAGTCCAATGTGTCCCACAAAGGACTGCCTGGCCTTTATGTCACCATCATGTGGCAGAGTATTGTAAGAACTAAAACCTGACTAATTTGCCAAATATTGGTGTCATCTGTGGCCCAGCCCTGGGATGAGCAGCAGGGCCCTCACAGCAAGCCAGAATCTGAGTTTCCTAAACTCATGGCACAAGGCCCAGTGGTTAGTCACACATAACTGTCTGCAA